GACAGGTACGTTGTCACAAAAATGTCGTAAATGCACCATGTCACGCCCCAGAGTCGCTCATTTCGTATCATCTTTGCTCGGGCTTTTCCCCTGCCAGCATGTATGGCGGTGGTGGTGGCGGTGGCACCTTTGTTTGGCGAGCCAACGATCCCAACGGGTACGCCCTTCACATCCCCCATCCTGTCCCGGCTTGTCTTGTTTTCAAGCACCCAGCTCTCTGTTTTGCTTTGTTTTGTTTTGGCTTCCCCCCGCCCCCTCCCCACTTCCCTTTTTTTTTTTTTTTTTTTTTTTTTTTTTTTTTCTTTTTTTCTTTTCTCTCTTCGTCAACTGGCATGCCCTCATTTTTCCTTCCAAACATCCTGTTAGCGACCCCCTCTTCATTGCCGGTGGTGGTGGCGGTGCCGCCTTTGCATCGCGTCCAGGTACCTTTTTTTTTTCTCCTTCTTCTTTTTTTCCCCCGGCTGCTTCGTGACGTCCAAGGACATGCAACATTCATCAATTTTTTCCCCCTAGGTGTGCCTGGTCGGGCTAATACCGCCGGTAGCGACGGCTACGGCCAGTCTGGCTACTTTTACGCGGGTGGCTCTGGAGGCTATGGTTCGTGCGCTTGAGCTTGCTCTGCCACGTTGCACCTCGAGCATAGCTGAACAGGCTCCTCGATTCATCCCTTTTATTCGTCCTCTTTGGGTTTACACAGGAGGTTCCATGTCCCATGGTAGTCGCAACAACGGCGGTGCCGGTGCGTTTTTGTTCCCGATGCGACCAACCGATCCATGCCTGCCCGTGCACTAACCGCAGACCTACTTCCCTCTAGGCGCTGGTTGGCTGGGCAGTGGCTCTTGTGTCAGCCCGACCGAAGACATGTGTGGCTACGGTCCCGCGGACGGTTTTCTGGGTGGCCAGCGTCCTTACACGGGTTATTATGAAGGCGGTATGGTCCATCAAGCCGTCGCGCTTGCCCATGCCCGACCTTATCTCTCTGATGACTAATTCTGTCAGCGTGACCTCATTCTATGATTGACGACAGGTTTCGGCGGTGGTGCTTCCGCCCGTTACTCCGGTGGTGGTGGAGGTGCGCTTTCGCTTGCCTCGCCTCTACACTTGCCCTGTCGTTCGCTTGGCTCTCACATGTGGTCCAACATCGCCCAGGAGGCTATTCCGGTGGTGGTGGTAGTCGGTACCACAGCAGCTATCATGCCACTGGCGGCGCTGGAGGCAGCTACTATCCTCCCAGTTCGACCGGCGCCGGCTGGGAGCAAGGCGGCAATTTTGAAGAGCAGGGACGCGTGGTCGTGACCCTCATGGACGACCAGGTCAGTCATGCTGCCATCGCATATATCCGCCGAAGGTTATTTCGATCAAAATGTGCCTTCACTGCCTCCCAACCTGACACGTGTTTGCTTTTAGATTTTCTATGCCGACGCGTGTGGCGCTGTCGGTGCGACTGGCCCCGACCAACCAGCGTGCGAAGCCCGCTACGCTGGTTTCAACACATCGTCCTGGCTCACTGCTGTGGCAAGCGGCATCCAGACCATCACCGTTCCTGAAACTGGCTTTTACCGCATCACTGCTGCCGGTGCCCGGGGTGGTCTCGGTCGCGAAGGCAAGCTCACTGAGGACTTTATGTATGAAGCCGGCCATGGTGCCATTGTGCAGGGCACCTTCAAGTTTGAGGCTGGGCAAGAGATTCAAGTTGTAGTTGGTCAAAAGGGCAGTGGCGGTGATAGCGCCGCGCGCTCGAGCTCCGCGGGTGGCTCTGGTGGTGGTGGCAGCTACGTCTACATCACCGGTGAAACTGAACCACTCCTGGTTGCCGGTGGCGGTGGTGGTGGCTCATACTACAGCACCGGTCAACAGTACTGGGGTCGTGACGGCGAATCGGGTGATTGCGGCGCTGATGCTGGCAACAACAATGGTGGTGCCGGTGGTTGCGCGGGTCTGGGTGGCTGGTCAGGCCGCTCGGATAGCACCAACCACGGCTTTGGAGGTTCAGGCTGGCATGGAAACGGTATCCCTAATTCCAACAGCTACTTGAATTATGTCGGCCAAAGCCGCACTGCCACCACCAAGTTTGGTGGGGGTCGTCACAGTGCCTCCTATTATGATGGTGGCTTTGGCGGCGGTGGTGCCGCAGGTCTCGAGGGTGCCGGTGGCGGTGGCTACTCGGGTGGTGGTGGTGGCTACTACCAAAGCGGTGGTGGCGGCGGCGGCGGTTCATGGACGAGCGGCTATGCGCCCGTCGCCCTGCGAGGTGGCAACCCGCATGCCGATGGATACGTCATCTTTGACCGTGTGGACGAGCCCAACGATTATGTTGAACAAATGATCATGACGCCCTGCGGAAATCGCGGGTCATCGGGGCCGACCGATGCCCTCTGTGCGCCCCGCTATTCAGGGCGCACTGACCCCTACAATCTCTACTCAACTACCCGGAACGGCTATCAGGTCCTGAAGGTATCCGAGGCGGGCTATTATCGCTTGACCGCCTACGGTGCGGCCGGAGGTTCTGCCCACAACTCTTTTAGCTGGGCCGTTCGTGGTGGACGTGGAGCTGCCGCGTCTGGTGTTTTCTACTTTGACCAAGATGAAGAAATCCAGGTCGCTGTTGGACAGAGCGGCAACTTCGAAGCTGCTCCCCCCGTCGCCACCTCTGCAGGTGGCGGCGGTGGCGGCGGCACCTTTGTGTGGCTGACAGCCGAGTGCAGTACCAATCCTGATTGCCTTCCACTTCTGGCTGCCGGCGGTGGCGGTGGCGCCTCATACAACGACTACTATGTTGGTACGGACGGCTCTGCCGGCTCCAGTGGCACCAAGGGCTATCTGGTCTCTGGTGTGGGTGGCACGGACGGCATGGGTGGTGAGGCCCCCACCTATAGCCATAACAACAATGGTGGTGGCGGTGCAGGCTGGTTTGGTGACGGTGTGTGCTACAGCCAGGCGTATTGTGGCTCCTCGCGTGCCAACGGCTTTCTGGGCGGCGTTCGCACAGATTCATACCGCAACGGTGGCTTTCCCGGTGGTGCTGCTACGGTTCTGGAGGGCGGTGGTGGCAGCGGCTTCAGTGGCGGTGGTGGTGGTTATCATGGCCATGGTGGTGGTGGCGGTGGCGGCTCCTACGCTTCGGGGCTGCAGTCGTACACTTCGAGCGGTGCCAATTGGGCTGATGATGGTCGCCTCATCATTGAGAAGCTGCCCCCGTCCATGGTCCACAATCGCAGCCGCATCGTCCTCACACCGTGTCATAATAGCGGTCGTAACGGCCCGACCGAGAATCAATGTCGCCAGGCGTATGAAGATACTGAAGCTGGATCCACCTTGCGCTCGGTTATCTCGGGCATTCAGGAAATCACCATCCCAACCAGCGGCCTTTACATGATTGTTGCCGACGGTGCGCACGGCGGCCATGCCTTGCTACCCTCCCAGTCCACGACATACTCTGATGGTGGTATCGGTGCACGCAAGTTTGGTATTTTTCAACTCGAAGCTGGCACGCGCCTGAAAGTAGCCGTTGGCCAACCTGGCAACTCCCGCCTGCTCACTGGCGGCAGCAATTGGGGCGGTGGCGGCGGCGGCGGCTCCTTTGTATGGGTTTCTGGTGCGCAGTGGCCGCTCCTTGTTGCAGGTGGCGGCGGCGGCGGCACATACCAAACCACCTCAGTAACCTCTTATGGCGCCCCGGGCCAGGACTCGATTGATGGTACCGACGCTCGTCCTTCATACCCTGGCTACGGTGGTATTAATGGCACTGGAGGTATCATGAATGGTAGGTATCTTCACTGTGATGTTGCGCTGTGTCCTTGTGTCGCGGTTGGATTTCAGCCATCTATGTTGGCAGCGTCCATGACTTCCGTTCTCTATTCACTTAGCTGTTGTGTCGGACGCTTTGCCTGGCAGAGAACAATGCTAACAAGGGTGGTGCGGGTGCGGGCTGGCTCACCAATGGTGACTGTGGCATCTACTACCCTGACCTTTGCGGACTGGCTCTGCGAAACGGTGGTCAAGGTGGCCAGGTTCATTATGACGTGAGTCAAATTTCTCGTCGCACCATTCATTCTGATGACACGTACAAACGCAAAAATATGAGATGTAAGGCGCTCAACTTCTCGCTTTTCTTCAGGGATATTTTGAGGGTGGTTTCCCTGGCGGTGGTGCCTCAATTTACCAAGGTGGTGGTGGATCAGGCTTTTCCGGGGGTGCCGGCGGTGAGTTATCGTATCTTTTACTTTAATTTTTTTGTCCGCAATTCGTGTTTTGGGCGTGCCTGCCTGACGTCAACTTTCTTTTGCAGGATCTCACAGCAGTGGCAGCCGTGGCGGTGGCGGTGGTGGCAGCTATGCCCATGCCTCTGCTATTGTGTCAGGCGGTTTGATGGGCGGCAATACAGACCGCTACGAGGGCGAGGTTGTTGTAGAGGAGCTTGCAAGCTCCAATGCAGACATTTACATCTCGAGCTGCGATGCTGTTGGCCGCTTTGGCCCCACACTTGAGGCCTGTCGCCGCCACTATGGGGATGGCTCGGCCCGTGACATGCTGGTCGACGTTGTTGGCGGTATCCAACGCTTCAACATTACCAAATCAGGTCGCTACACCATTCGAGCCTATGGTGCCAAGGGCGGCCCGGCCTTTTCTGGCTCCCTGTTCCGCGATGGCGGACATGGCGCCTACGTTTGGGGTACTTTCATGCTGTCAGCTGGGGATGAGCTCAACGTTGTTATCGGTCAACCGGGTGATTACGTACCCTCCCCAAGTCAATATGCCGGCGCGGGCGGCGGCGGAACGTTTGTGTGGCTGACGGGCGCAAGCAAGCCGCTGCTTGCCGCGGGTGGCGGCGGTGGCGCTGCCACCGATGTTGCTTATGCCATGCGGTCACAGAGCGATGGCCTGGCCGCTCTCTCTGGTGGCAGTGCTTTTCCGTTTGGTGGTCTTGGTGGTTCTCTGGGCCACGGTGGTACGGGAGCCCGCGATAGCGATGCTGATTCTGGCGGCGGTGGCGGTGGCTGGCTGACTGATGGCAACTGCCCCTATTATTCCAGCTACTGTGGTGCTGGGCTTGCGGGTGGCTTTGTCGGGGGCACCCCTGGCAGCACCGCCTATCCCTACGGTGGCTTTGGCGGCGGTGGCGCTGGCCGTGTTGAAGGTGGCGGCGGTGGCGGCTACTCGGGTGGCGGCGGTGGCTTTGACAACTCGGGTGCCGCGTCTGGTGGTGGTGGTGGCAGCTATGTCGACCGTAGCTTGATTCAGGACAACGCTTGGGGTTGGGAAACTGGTGGCAACTCGCTCTTCAAGGAGGGTCTCGTCATCATCGAGGCTCCTTGCCCGCTCGGCAGCCAGCTGGTGGGCGACGTGTGCCAGGATATTGATGCTTGCGCGCTGGTTCCCTGTACTGCCAATGCTGTGTGCATTGATTTGAAGGGTGTGGCACCTGATGCAGACGGGCGCACATGCTCGTGTGCGCCTGGCTATGACGATGTCAACGGCCAATGTGTTGATCACGATGGCTGTGCCAACAATGCATGCGGTGATGCCAACGCGGTGTGCACTGATAACGCGCCTCCAAGCACCGGTTTCTCCTGCGCCTGCAAGAGTGGATTTGTGGCCGGGGTCACGGGCGTCTGCGCAGACATTGACGCTTGTACGTTTGTTGCCTCCATTACTTGTTGTTCGTTGGATGGGCGTCTTTGTTTTTTCCCACTTTTACACCATGTCTTGCGCTTTCATTCCAAAACCTTGAATCAAGCCATTTTCTTGACCTTTCTGCCCAATGTTGTGTCTCCCCCCTGCTTTAGGCGTTTCGTTCCCTTGCCATGAAGACGCCAACTGCCAGGATGTGGCTGGTGGTCCAAACTCAACAGCCGGGCGTCTGTGCTCTTGCGTTGGGCAACTGGTTGGTGACGGTGTTTACAATTGCTCCTGCGAGCCCGGCTTTCAGTTTAACAGCCAAACGCAGCTGTGTGAAGTTATCGATGCCTGCCAGACGTCCCCTTGCAATGGCTCCAACACTGTCTGCACGGATATTGGTGGTGCTGCTGGGCCAGGTCCCTCGGGCCGCCTGTGCACCTGTGACGTTGGCTTTGAGTTCAACCAAGCCGGTGACTGCAAAGATATCAAGTGCGTTGTACTGGGATGTTGTGCAATTTGAAAGTTGCACCAGTTCGTGGCATTTGCTTGCCCGTGTTTGGCAGGTCCTCTGACGTGCATGTTTTGTGGTTGCAGTGCTTGTCTGGATAACCCTTGTGGTAGCAACGCCATCTGTCAAGATCGCGTGGCTCCTGCTCTGAACAGTGCCTCGGGTCGAGTTTGTACCTGCAATGCGGGTTACAGTGCATCTCCCAATAACGTGGATAGCTGCGTCGAAATCAATGCATGTGCTACCAACAATGGTGGCTGTGGTACCGATGCCGTTTGCACTGATCTTCCACCACCAGCTGGCGCTGGCTCAGCTGGCCGAACTTGCTCCTGTACGACTGGTTATTCCTTGGTTAACTCAATGTGCGTGGACATTGATGCCTGCATCAACCATCCGTGCACGGGCGACCATGAAGTGTGTGCCGACAAGGCGGCGCCCTCCACGGACACTAGCGATGGTCGGGTATGCTCTTGTGATGTTGGCTACGTCCGTGATGCCGTCAGTGGAAACTGCATTGAGTTTAATGCCTGTAAGTCGAACCCGTTCGTACTTTATTCTTATTTTTTACTTTTATTATTATAATTACTTCCCCTTCTTCCTCACGTTAACAATGGCATTTGATTTGCTTACAGGCGACCTTTACCCTTGCCCCTCGAACGCGGTCTGCACGGACGTTGCCGGTGGGGCTGCTTCGGCGGAGGGCCGCACTTGCGAGTGTAACTTTGGCTACGAGTACACCTCTGCAACTGGTGGCTGTGCGGACATTGATGCTTGTAAGTGTGTGCTTGTGCTCTTTCGCGCAAGTACGCGCGCCCCCCCCCCC